AGATTAAACAAGGCAGTTCAGCTCAACGGCAGGTCAGCTCAATGGCAGGTCAGATTAAACAAGGCAGTTAAGCTCAAAGGCAGTTAAGCTCAACGGCAGGTCAGAATAAACAAGGAAGTTCACTCAACAGCAGGTCAGAATAAACAAGGAAGTTCAGCTCAACGGCAGTTCAGATTAAACAAGGAAGTTCAGCTCAAAAGCAGTTCAGCTCAACGGCAGGTCAGATTAAACAAGGCAGGTCAGCTCAACGGCAGGTCAGATTAAACAAGGCAGTTCAGCTCAACGGCAGGTCAGCTCAACGGCAGGTCAGATAAAACAAGGCAGTTCAGCTCAACGGCAGGTCAGATTAAACAAGGCAGGTCAGCTCAACGGCAGGTCAGATTAAACAAGGCAGGTCAGCTCAACGGCAGGTCAGATTAAACAAGGCAGGTCAGCTCAACGGCAGGTCAGATTAAACAAGGCAGGTCAGCTCAACCCCGAAAACATTGATCACTACAGGCAGGGTTAGCCCGGGCCAACTGAGCCGGAACCCAGTACCAACGAAACAATACCTTATAGGCTGCCTCCAGAGTGGTCGTATTAAATGAGCATTTAGCTATGAGTGACCAGGCCTTATTCCAGTCCTCCGGATCCACAGCCACTCCCAGGTCGCGCTCCCACTGAACAACATATGAAAGAGAAGTATGCGACGAGCGTCGTTTCAGAGCTGCATAAAGAAGGGATATAAGGCCCGGAGCGCCCTGACGCTGTTGGCAAAGCTGTTCAAAGGCAGATTTCTGGTACGGGAAAGCAGAAGTACCCCGCAGCGAGAGCAGCCAGTGTCACAATTGAAGATATCGAAAGAATTCTGCCGGGGGGATATTCTGGGATTCCCGAAGAGAGTTCCAGGTGGGAAAGGACCGAAAAATCAAAAAGTGTCGCACCTGCAAAAAACCAAGAAAACGCCCCTGGGTCATCTAAACCCGGTGGGAAAAGAGGGTTGTTAATAATTGGAAGCAAAGGCAGAAAAGGTGACATCAGGCCACCAGAATAACGTACCGAGTCCCAGACTTGTAGGCCATGAAGTAACATCGGACTCAGTGCCATAGGGCGCAGGGCAGGGGGAAGCCATAGAAGCGTCGACAGTGCGATAGGGGCACAATTAGGTAGTTTCAACAGGACCCAGAGGGGGACGTCGGAAGAGGCGTGCAACATAGACAGCGGGGCAATCTGGCTCGCTTGATAATACTTAGTTACATTAGGCACCCCAAGACCACCCTAAAGTCTATGGGCAAAAAGCGTATTTTTGGATACTCTGGGGTGCTTATCAGCCCAGATAAAACACATTAACTTCGCCTGAAGCAACCGAAGAAAATGAGGGGGAACCCGCACCGGGAGTGTGCGAAAATAATACAACAATTTCGGCAAGATGGTCATTTTCACCAAATTAACCCGTCCTATCCAAGACAGGTGCGGAAATTGCCAAGAATGCATAAAAGACGATAGAGAGCTAAGCAATGGATAATAATTCGCAGCAAACAAGGAGTCATAAGTGGGGGTCAAGCGAATGCCTAAGTATTCAAGAGAAGAGGAAGCCCATTTGTAAGGGAAGTGGGATTGTAGGCGCGAAACCAAATCTGAAGCCAAAGTAATATTGAGGGCGACAGTCTTATCCAAGTTGATACGGAGATCAAGGAGAAGCGCTCAAGAACCTGTTGCAAATTAGGAAGCGTCGTCAGGGGGTTAGTAAGAGTCAGGAGGGCATCGTCCACAAAAAGGTTCAGTTTGAATTCCTGTCCCGCGTATGGAACCCCCGATACATTGCAATCGGTCCGAAGCGCTAAAGCCAGCGGCTCAAGCTCCAGGACAAAGAGCGCTGGGGACAGGGGGCAACCCTGTCTCGTCCCTCGCCCAATAGGAAAGGGATCTGAAAAATACCCAGCGTATTTAACGGAGGCCGAAGGAGAAGAATACAAGGCCTGAATCCAAGAAAGAATAGAATCCCCAAAACCCCAACGAGACAGCACAAACCGCAGATATTCCCAGGATAGAGAATCAAAGGCTTTATATATGTCTAAAGACAGTAAGAATCCCGGGATTTTCCGCTGTTGCAGAAAATGTATAAGATGGACCACCTTACGAACGTTATCACCCGCCTGCCTCCCGGGGACGAACCCTACCTGGTCCCTGTGGACCAGGCTACGCAAATATTTATTGATGCGAAAACTAAGGATCTTGCCCAATATCTTCAGGTCTTCATTAAGAAGAGAAATAGGCCAGAAGGCTTGCGGTTCCTGTACATCATCGGTCGTCTTAGGAATCATGGCGATATGCGCTCTAAGCGCATCTGGAGAGGGCAAGGAGCCCTGTCGTAACGCATTAAAATAGTCAGCCAAAAAGGACACCAACAAGGCTGAGACTTTCTTATAATAAAGACCGGAAAAGCCGTCGGGACCTGGGGCCGCGGTGGACCGTAAAGATTTGATGGCTTGGAGCACTTCTGGTACAGTGACACCGGCATTGAGGGCCACCTGTGCTGCCTCAGATAATCCAGGAAGATGGAGATCTTGAAAGAATGCCTCTGCTTGAGCCACGGGGAAGGGATCTGGTTTAGCGTAGAGGCGCGAAAGGAAGTCTGAGAAACGGAAACAATCTGCTGGGGATTAGAAGTACAGCCACCTGTAGGAAGTCGCAGTCGAATCGGTTTATGGGCTTTCCCGACAGAATTTGAGTTTCCTGGCCAGCATCGGGCCCGGCTTATTAGCACAGGAAAAAAATTTGTGTTTGGTCCAACGCAGGGCCCGTTCCGCCTCCGAAGAGGCAAGTAGGTCCAACTCTGCCGCCAGAGCGTCCCGAGCGCGTTTATGGGCTGCGGACGGAGATGACTTCCAACGCGCATCCGCAGAGGCCAGGAGAGAATGAAGCTCCAAAAGTCGGCGCTCCCGCTCCCGGACCGCCGCCAGCTGTATAACATGACCCCGCACCGTGGCCTTATGAGCCTCCCATAGGGGCACTGCCGAGGAGACCGATCCCTCGTTTTCCGTGAAGTATGTTCGTAAAAAAAATTCTATTTGTTGGCAGGTAGCCTGAGTGGTCAATAAAGAATCATTGATGCGCCAATGAAAAGGGCGCTGTTCTGACCCAGAGAGGGCAAGGAGAAGTACCAAGGGATCATGATCTGACCAAGGATCTGACCAAGGCAAGGAGGGAATAGTTATCCGCCTGACCAGGGAAGTTGCTGAACCTGCATAAATATATGATCAATTCTACAAAAACTATCATGAGGACTGGAATAGAATGTAAAGTCGCGTTCCGTTGGGTGAAGCTCCCTCCAGATGTCCGCCAGCCCCACTGTCCGCAGGAGAGAGCGCATACGTTCCTCCAGCACCAAGTCATGAGAAGGGGCCGCCCCCCGTGTGCAGCGCCTATCCAATGCGGAATCCAAAGTAACATTTGAATCCCCAAAAACAGACCCTTGGAGTGTTGGGAAACAATGGTGCAAAGATGCGAAAAGAATTTATCCTGAAAACGATTAGGCGCGTAGTAAGAGACAAAAGTAACCTCCTGGTCAGCAAGCGGCTTTTTCAAACCCTGACATAAGGGACTGGATTTATGGCACCTTGACGTACATGGACACTGAACTTGATTAAACTGTACTTGACTCTCTGGAACATCCCCTCCTGTACTACACTTGGTTGGCATGGCATAAATTATGCTCACGTTGCCTAATAAACAGCCATACGTCTCTCTTCCTCCCACTATGGAACAACTTGGACCTCTCAGAATTTTCTGGCTTTCCTGTACTTTGGTAGCGGCACCTTGCAGGTCTTTGCTATATCAAATGCTTAGTGGATGTCAACAACAAGCAACCACTTTCTTTCAATGTAGCCCTAGAGAAACTTCCTTCTGTATCCAACAATACATTTCTCTTTTTTACAAATGAAACCGTGCATTGCCTCTATTCTCAAAAAAATTTCTGATAAGGATTGGGGAAATTCTTTGGATACACTTCCAGGATATCCTAACCCAAATTTTAAAAAAAGCTATTTTTATTCTTTACAATGTTTTCAGACAGTCACTCAATGGCTGGTCTTAACAAATGGACCAAGAATTTCCCCCAACATTTGGTTAATGCCCTTTTAAAATTGCTGCGTTTGTCTTGGGGCATGGTCAAAGCCACAATGTACCATGAAATGAGGCTTCGACTTTTCCATCACTCTTCTAGATCTCTGCATTGTTCCTACCTTATGGACCTAAGCACTTCTTTCTTGCTGCTTGAATTGTGGACAGTTAGATGCGGACCTGTTCCATTCTTTTTGCTCACTGGAACTCCATAGTGCATTATGCTACCACATATCTGGTAAACTGCTGACCTTTAACTCCCAAATGGGCTCTTTTTGGCCTAATTAATTTCCAGGGCATTAAAATCTCAAAGGGGCTGCAAGTAACTACTTACTATCATATACCATGTGGTACAGGATACATAAGTGAATCCTCCAATTGGCATTCCATGCCTTTCTTAAATTGAATTGCATGTGTTAGTTTAAAAATTGTGGCCTCCCCCTCTTTCCTCTGCTTGCTATTTGCTAGTCTGAATGTCATCCATTCAAATATTTCTTAATGTACACTAGACCCAGAACTGCTAGGTCTCTCTCTGAACTTCTACTAACATACTGTATATTGTCTTTCTTGATTTAACTTGTGGGCCAAATGTTGTGGCCATTGTTCTTGGTAATTGCATTCTCACAATAAAATGTAATTAAAAAAAAAAAAAAAAGGAGCCCCCATTGTGAACTTGACTTTAAAAAGGTACAGTATGCTTGTTGTGAGACTGTCATCCTTACCCTAATAGGTTGCAAACTCAAAGAAATCAAGGCGAAGATTCAATCTATAGCTTTAACCACCTCCCGCCTGCCATATAGTACAATGACGGGCGCAAGGCGGTTCTCTCGTTCTGGGAGGACGTCCTCCCATTCTAACGGAGCATTCACGGCTCTGGGACCACGCAGCACGGCGATCGGTGGTGCACTGTGTCCCTCGGACACAGCGGATCACAGATCCACAGAAAGAGCCGAAGATGTTGGCTCGGTCATGTGATCAGCTGTATCCAATCACAGCTGATCACATGTAAACAGGGAAATGCCTGTTATCGGCATTTCTCTCCTCACGAGCTGTCACGCTGACAGATCGAGAGGAGAGGAGAGCTGGTAATCGGCATTCCTCAGAGGGGACATGTACACTGATGATCAGTGTGCCCTGATGATCTGTGTAGCCCCAGCAGTGCCACCTGTCAGTGTCCATCAGTGCCAGCTGCCAGTGCCCATCAGTGCCACATTTCAGTGCCTACCAGTGCACATCTGAGCTGCCTTTCAGTGTCACCCATCAGTGCCAGTCAGTGCCACCTATCAATGCCAGTCAGTGCCACCTATCAGTGCTGCCAATCAGTGCCAGTCAGTGTTGCCTGCCAGTGTTGCCTATCAGTGCGCATCAGTGCCACCTATCAGTCTGCATCAGTGCTGCCTAACAGTGCCAGTGGGTGCCGCCTATCAGTGCCAGTCAGTGCCGCCTATCAGTGCCAGTCAGTGCCGCCTATCAGTGCCATATATGAGTGCTGCCTTTCAGTGCCCATCAGTGATGCCTGTCAATGCCCATCAGTGCCACCTACTAGTGCCTCCTCATCAGTGCCCATCAGTGCCACCTATCAGTGTCCATCAGTGCAGGCTATCAGTGCCCATCAGTGCAGGCTCATTAGCGCACATCAGTGAAGGAGAAAAATCACTTATTTACAAAATTTTATACCAAAAACTATGAAAAAAACGTTTTTATTTCAAACTTTTCAGTGGTTTTTGGTTTTAAGAAAAAATAAAAAACCCAAAAGGTGATTAAATACCACCAAAATAAAGCTCTATCTCTCACAAAAAAAGATAAACATTTCATATGGGTACAGTGTTGCATGACCGTGCAATTGTCATTCAAAATGTGACAGCGCTGAAAGCTGGAAAAATTGGCCTGGGCAGGAAGGGGGTATAATTGCCCTGTAGGCTAGTAGTTAATAAGAAGTAATTGTTACCAACTCCCACAATTCTGTCCTTACTAATCATTATTTCCAACACAGTCAAGCACCAGTTTGGTTTTCATCTGATCTTGAACAATATAAGTACAATAACATGACAATAAATTAACAGAGCCACTTTGGAATGGAAAGTATGTCACTTGTTTGTGGATTTAAAGTGGTTGTAAACCCCCAGACATGAAATATGATCAAAACACTTCCCTCTATAGTGTGTACTTCTCAATCCAGAGCACCAAGTGTCATTTGTGCTTGCTGCATCATTCCTCTGCTATAAGCATGAGTCACTTCTGACAGGTCTCCTGACATGAGAAAAAAGGTGAGGGAGTTCCAGCAAACAGTCTGTGATTGAAAGCCTCAGCTCTATTCCTGTGTGCTGTGTGAACTGGGTTGTGTCCCTTCCCTCCAATAAGCTCTCAGAGTACTGTACAGAGTGTAACTACAGCCTCCTGGCCCCTGCTTTGTGAGTCTACTCCTTTTCATCTTTGAATTTTACAAGACTGTACAGGACAATGCCACAGATAAACAGGTACAACTTAGAAGAATGTAGAAGAATTTGTATAATCTCTGTGTATCACCTGAGGCTAGTCACTTCACTGGGTATATGTAAGGGTTTACAACCACTTGCCCTCCAAAGGATTTGCTCCCCTTTCTGACTAGGCAAATTTTTTGCGCTACGGTGCTGCGCTACTTTAACTGACAATTGCAATTGCAAGGCTGCACCCAAATTAAATTTACATCCTCTTGTTCCCCACAAATAGAGCTTTGTTTTGGTGGTATTTGATCGCCTGTGCGGTTTTTAATTTTTTATGCTATATATATATATATATATATATATATATATATATATATATATATAAAAAGACTAACAATTTTGAGAAAAAAACATTTTATAAATCAAATTTCACCAGAAATTTAGGCCAAAATGTATTCAGCTACATGTCTTTGTTAAAAAAAATCCCAATACGTGTAAATTAATTGATTTACTTGAAAGTTATAGCGTTTACAAATGGTAGCATATATACTTGGAATTTTTTTTTTTTTTATTTATTTTTACTAGTAATGACAGCGATCAGCGACTTATAGCGTGACTGAGGCGGGCATTCTGATACTGGGGGGAACTGAAATCCCCAGTGACACCAATACAGTGATCATTGCTAATAAAAAGCACAGACACTGTACTAATGGCACTGGGCAGGAAAGGATTAACATGTGGTGCGATCAAAGAGTTAACTGTGTGCTGTTTCACTAGGGGCTGTGTCTGTGTGCTTCACTGCAAAGCAGTGTGCAGGAGCTGATGGGAGAGAACTGTTTTGTTTACAAACAGCTCCCCCCACCATCGGAGATACTCGGCAATCACCAGCAAGTACTCACCAACCGGAACCTGGTGATTGACAGCCATGGCCGTGAATGGCAGCGTGGGTAGGGCTCATGTGTGCCCCCTACCTGGAAATGCAAAATCACGTATATATACGTAATTGTGCGCACCCGTGCTGCCCTGTAGCAGTACTTCTGCTATAGGGTGGACGGGAATCGGTTAAGAAAATAAAAAGCAAAAGTCTGATGATATACAGTTAGGTCCATATATATATTTGGACAGAGGCATTTCATACTTTTGGCTCCGCATGCTGCCAGAATAACTTAAAACAAAACAATCTAAGTGAATTTGAAGTGCAGACTTTTAGCTTTAACCACTTGCCCTCCTGAATATTTACCCTCCTTCCTGACCAGGCCTTTTTTTTGCTATTCAGTGCTGCACTATTTCAACTGGTATGAATGAAACTTATGTCATTTTTTTCACACAAATAGAGCTTTCTTTGATAACCTGTGCACTTTTTATTTTTTGCACTATAAAACAAAAAAAAATATATTTTTTACTTTCGGCTATATAAAATATATGGTAAACTCAAAGTTAGTCATAAAGTTAGACCAAAATGTATTCTGCTACATGTTTTTGGCAAAAAAAAATACCAATAAGTGTATATTGATTGCTGTGTGTGAAAGTTATAGCGTCTACAAACTACGGTATAGATACTGCAATTTACACCATGTTTTGCTATACAGCGCTGCACTAGTTTAACTGACAATTGTGCGGCCATGCAATACTGTACATAAATGAAATTTATATCCTTTTTTCACACAAATAGAGCTTTTTTTTGGTGGTATTTGACCACCTCTGGGTTTTTTTTTTTTTTTTGGTGCTATAAACAAAAAAAGACCAAAAATGTAAAAAAAAAAATATTTTCTCATTTCGGTCATAAAAAAATATCCAAGAAACTCAAGTTTCATAATAAATTTAGGCCAAAATGTATTTTTCTACATGTCTTTGGTAAACAAAAATCCCAATAACTGCATATTAATTGGTTTGCGTGAAAGTTATAGCATCTACAAACTATGGTATAGATCAGCCTTTCTCAACCAGGGTGCCTTGGCAAAATGTCTAAAAATTGCCCAAAACTTGTATACAAGCCAGCGGGTGGAACAAGCCTGCCTTTTAGTTACACAAAGCCAAAGGTTTTCATTGCGCACCATTACGACCTTCTAGCCGCCGATGTCCTGACAACCAATGACAGCATCAGTTGATAAAGAGGATGTCAATTGCCTGCACAGCATCCTATTTTGACCCTCCCCTGTCCCTCTCCATCAGTGCTGGGGTCACATTAGCTCAGTGATGGAGACAAACTGAGGGAGAATCATAGGAATACTAGTCAGTACCAGTGTGCAGAATTGTATTTGTTCTGGAAGAATACGTCACCTCTGATGTTGGGTGTCCTACATGTGTGGAGGTTGCTGCGTTATATAAAACTATTAGAATAGTTTTTCACATTTTAGATTGGGGTGCCTCAAGGCTGTCCATAATTTGAAAGGGTGCCTCTGGACTTTCCATAATTTGAAAGGGTGCCTCAAGACTGTCCATAATATCAAAGGGTGCCTCAGGACTGTCCATAATTAAAAGGGTGCCCCAAGACTGTCCATAATTTGAAAGGGTGCCTTGACTTAAAAAAGGTTGAGAAACAGTGGTATAGATAATGGAATTTACACAGGTTTTACTTTCTGACTGCCCAACACATTTCTTGACGTGATAAAATACCAGCACAGTACAAACACCCTCAAATGACCCCTTTTCGGAAAGTAGACACCCTAAGCTATCTGCTGAGAGGCATGTTGAGTCCATGGAAGATTAATTTTTTTTTCCACAAGTTTTTTGAAAATTACAAAAACATTTTTTTTTTTTTTTTACACAAAGTTGTCACTTAAATGATATATTAATCACTCAAGCCATGGGTATATGTAGAGTTACACCCCAAAATACATTCTGCTATATCTACCAAGTATGGGGATACCAAATGTGCGAGGCTGTTTGGGAGCCTAGCCACATATGGGAGCCTGAAATCCAATGACCACTTTGAAAGCCATAGGTGCGCAACTTCCTCATTTCACTTCCTCACAGTCGCAGTTTCGGAGGCCGTGAAATGCAAAGATAGCACCCACCCCCCCCCCCCCAAATTACCCCTTTTTGGAAAGTAGGCACCCCAAGGAATTTAAAAAAGAGGCACGATTAGTATTTTGCAGATCTAATTTTTTTCTCATAAGGTTTTGAAATATAAAAAAAAGTCAAGAAAAAATGTTTTTGTTTTCTTTCTTCATTTTCCAAAAACTTGTGGCAGCAAACAATCTGCAAAATATGGTGGGGACACATGAAATGTTCTAAAGAACCTAACACATTCCTCTATTCACATTGTTTAATGTGGATGAAGAAATCTCTGCCAAAAAATGTTTTTTTAAATATAAAGCATAGGGACCATCCACTCACTCACTGGCCACCCCAGGCCACCATGCTTTGGCATATATGCCATTTTTTTTAAATGCAGATGAAAAATCTCATCCAATAGTGCTGCACACACCTACTTATGTATATTCTGAGAGCAAGACCCCGTTGCTGTCAGAATAAACAAGTTGGTGCTGCAGCTGAAAAGCATTCCTGCAACAAAAACAGCAAAAGTTACAATAAAACAGTAACTCAATAAAACAACTTTTTTATTGAAATATGTGCCAACAAATATTATAAAATATATATGCCAAAGCATAGGGACCATCCACCCACTGGCCACCCAAGGCCCCCATGCTTCGGCATATATGCTCTTTTCTTTAACTGCGGATGAAAAATCTCATCCAAAAGCGCTACACACACTGACTTATGTACAGTATATTCTGATAGCAAGTTCCCATTGCTATCAGAATTAAAAAGGTTGGTGCTGCAGCTGAATGGTATTCCTGCAAAGAAAACAGCAGTGGTTAACAATAAAACAGCAACAATAAAACAGTGAAATTGTAACAGTAGAACAGTAACTGGACAACAACAAAAAACACTACAACTATTTTTGGTTTATAAAATTTATTTTTTTTTGTACTTGTAGTTTTTTTTAATGTGTTTTTTTACTTTTTTTTTTTTTTTTTTTTTTAACTTGAACTTAACCAGATTGTAGGGTTTTCCAAAATGCGATCGCCAGTTTCTTGACTACCTAACATTTTTCGAGA